AATCGGAGGAGGGGAAGGGAAGTAAAGGACCAAAGTCAAGGCGCGCAGCGGCAGCATCAACGGAATATTAAAAAGACTTCTTTTCAAGGAGTTGAAAGGAGCCCCGGGAGATGGATGCTTCCTCTCTCTTTACATTCGCCAAAAGCCACTGCGGTTGCAGTCACTTTTGTGGCAATGGCCACAAGCCGCAAATATTATTAACCACGAATCAGGCGTATTCAGAAATCCTCAGAAATCATCAGGGCCCCCTGCTCCCCGGAAAAGCCACTTCATTAGGCGAAAATGGTTTCCATTCAGGCGAGTGTGGATTTTTGTAGCATACTTTTTGGGGCAAACAAAACAGTTGCGGCTTGGGGAATTTGCTTCTATCAAGGGGTTAATGAAATGAAACTTCGCAATCCAATAGTATAAATGTTTGGCCTAACAATTAACCAACTGTTTGTGCTAAATGTTGCTCGTGTACATTTTAATTTAAAGCTTTTATAAGGACTAAACTATATTTTATTGTGTTGTCTAACGTTTCTGGTTAACAAAAATCATTTAAACATTTAAAAACCTTACTGAAAAGGGAAAATCTTAAATGGGAAGTGTGATTTTTAATAATTTATAGTGGCCGCCTAAGCTCTTCGAAAATAACCCCATCGAGTGGCAAGGATATAGATGGAATCCGGCTGGAAGACGAGAAGGAAGCGCCAGGACACGAACAGGAATCTGAGGCGGAATGTCAACTAAAAGTGTTGAGTGTCAAAGACGGATGCCAGGGCGAATTGCTGGCAATCAAATCCCAAATCCGTACAAAGCTCGGAAAAAATGGGAGGGGGGAAAAAGGGGGAAAGGGGGAAGGGGGAACTGTGGCGATAACACCGAATGCTCGAAACAGAAAAGCACTTAACTCTTAAAGGCGAAATGCTTGTAAAATTTAAGCCCTACTTAATTTGCGATATACTCGTAAACAATTGCCCGCGGCAATCTCATTGTGGCACTTGTCACTGGCCTCGTGCTTTCGCGGGTTGGTGGGTGGCGGGTGGTGGCTTAAGGGGTTCGAAAGGCTTTGCCACAGAGAATCCAACCAAACCAAACACCCACCCACCCATCTACCGCTTTTCAAAAATTTTTACTAATTTTAATAAAGCGCCGGAGACAAAAGCGTCGTCGCCCCACCGATTTTTTTGGCGCGGGGTTGTTGGTTGTTGGTGGAGAACAACGAAGACGAAGACGAAGACGCCGCAACTCGATATCAGAAGACAAAGGCTCACATCAAGGGGAAACCACAGGCTTTGGCTACACCTACGCCGCCTTAACCCGCCATCCACCGCACTTAACCCCCCTCCCACAAAAAAAGTGTGTGCGACTAAGGGTTAAGGGGACTGCCTGCCACACAGCATTCCGGCTTATTTCTTTCAATTTCGGTTTTTACTCATTTCGCGACGCGGTTTCCAATTATGCAGACGCAGCTTGGGAAATGCCGCTAGAGATGATAGCGGAAATGTGCTAGAAAATATGTGAAAAACTGGAAAACTGCAAGTAATGGAACCTATTTAAGACTTGGTAAATAAGAAACAATAAAAAAATGATTTCTACCGGTAAATAACTAATTAAACTATTTATTCTGTGGAAACCCGTTATGGAACCTTTTTAAGACTTGTAAGGTTATGTACAGAATATGTTCTACTTATAAATAAGTAATTAAACTATTTATAAGCCAGTTCCAGCTGACGTCTCTAATAATACATAAGACGACCCGATTGGACACGAATTTCCCATCAGAGATCTGGTGCGGGGCTCTGGCCAAGGCCACCACTAGCCCCAAATGAATTTTTCGTGTTCGCCGATGGAAAGCTGGAATATTCGAGGATTTCTGATCGGGGTTGGGGTTACGGGGGTTACGGGGGTTACGGGGGTTACGCGGGTATTGGGGGTATGGGAAATGTCTTTCTCTTGGCAGAAACCGCGAGTCCTCGCATCGGCGGCACATTTGTGTGCAGTGCTGTTGCCGCAGCCGCTGGGAATTTAACCCTTTACCGCCCCAAATAACACCTCCCCCCACCCCCCACAGAACCCCTTTCTTTTTAGCCCACACCCCTGGATTTTGTGTGTGCCAGCCAGTGGATTACTCAATTAATTTAATTATGCGCTGTCAATCATTTCGTTGCCTTGGCCCAGGAACTTACTTACTTTCTCTGTGTGGCTCTGTCTGCCTACCGATGCCACGCCCACTCCAAGACGCCTCCTTCTTAACCCCCCTTGGGCCCCTTTAGCCCCTTTTGGTCTGGGCAAAAAGTGACTTATTTTCTTGTTGCCACTTAATTTTTGTTGTCCTTAGATTTGCACCAACGTCTGTGGCCGCTCAGCCGCGGCCTTCCGCCTTGCGAACACCCACCGCCCACCGCCCACTTTTCACCCCTTTCTCTTTCTTAACCCCCAAACCCACCAGCCAGGGCGTATTTTTCTTACCCTTACCCTTTGCCTGTGGTAAAGCTCAGCGGAGCTGGAAACTGCAGAGAAAAACTTAAAAATATAAAAAATATTATCCGTCTAAATTAAACCCTTAAAGATCTTTGGTTTTTTTATTTTAAATTAACAGTTTTATTCTGAGTATTATTTATTTTCGTAGGCTCAGGAAAACCTTTATTAAATAAATACTCATCATAAAAGCACAAAAAAAGAAAAAAAGGAATAAAAAAATAAAGAAAAAAGGTTTTATGCTGGTAAAAAAAAAGAAAAAACATTTAAAAAGCTATTATTTTGATGGAAGAAATAGTTTTATATTTTTTGATTTCTTTTTGGATCAGTGTAATAGCGAGGCATGCAAATTTTGATGAATGCCGTGGGGGAAGGGCGTCCCCCTTCCACTTAGCCACCCCTTCTACAGTTGCGACACCCCCGCCCCTTAAAAAAAACCGCGACCGCCTGGAAATAAGTGAAATCATTTGCGTTTTTGCGTTTACGCAAGATGGAGCGGTCGCCGAGCTGCTAATCCCCCGGTTCCTCCAGCTCCTCCTCCGAACGTAAGCCCTTCTCTGAGGCACTGAATCCATCCATCCTTCCTGATCCCAAGTTGCAGATTCCCATCAGCTCGGTGTTCTCTGTTCTCCTCTCCGTCATGTTGACTTTTCCATTTGCCTTGGCAATTTCTGGCACCGCGTTTTCCTTCGCGTTTTCCGCTTCTTTAGCGGGTTTTCTTTTTCCTATTTTTTTTTTTTTTTGCTTTCTTTGAATCCGTCTACTGGCATCTTCTGCGAATATCCTGCGGGCTTTGTTTTCGCCTGTATTTGTTTAAGCTCTACATAACTGTATGTGCCGTGTGTATGTGAGTGTGTGTGCGTGGTGTTTGCTTACATGTGTAAATTACTTTTCAATCTTGTGATTACTTTTTTCCACATTTAATTATTTTAATTACGGCCCAGTGCACACAAGCAGCTTCCGCAGCCTCGTCTTCTGCGTTACACAAAAACCCTTTCCCCAGGAACTATGTAGTTCAAAGAACCCGTATGCAAAGCCCTCCTTTTCACCTTTCCCAACTTGAGGAGCTCCTAATTAAGTGTGCAGAACTCAAGATCCCTAAACACTTATAGGAGCATCTGTTTTCGTTACAGTCTACAATCTTTAAAAATCATATATTGTTAATTGCAATGAAATCAATTTGAAAACAAATATATTAGCTTAAAAAAGGCGTGAAACAGAAATGTAATTAACTTTTGTTTATTGAATATCAAAAATCATTATAGTTCAATGGGAAAATTGATTGTTTCTTACCCCTGATGTTACATACTAAAATTTTCCGAATTCCCCGAAAAAAAATTCTTTTCAATTCTTAAAAACTTTGTAAAATTTTTCAAAACTTTGATTTTTGCGGTAAAACCTCTATAAAATGTCAAAAAATCATTTAATTTCCACAGGGAGATATTTTCTTAAATGCTATTTGCCCTGAAAAATGTTGCATACAAACCTTTTTCAATTTCCAAAGAAAAAAATCAAAATCTTGCGAAATTTGTTATTACGGACTGGACTTAATTCGTTTATTTATTTAATGCAATCGTTGACCATTTCATCTTTAGGCGGCCTTGAGCAAATTTACAACCTATTGACCATAGAGTGTTTTTTTTTTGGAACATATGTACCAAATTTTCAATATGAGATGGATTAAAAGACCATCAACTCAAAAGTAAAATATCGTTAAAAAATAACTTAAATCAGTTAAAAAAAAAAACACTCTGGGCTTTGATTTTGAAGAGTCTTAATCACTGAACGTAACAAAAAAATCACAATCGCGCACTCAAACCACCAGCTGTGGACTCCGACTGGCGGCGATGATTGATGACGATGATTGAGGCGGACTCCGCGTTCGATCGACGGGCGGATTTGACCTGAATCACCAGCTGGAGAATGCGTCAGAATGTGGCGATAAATGGCACCGTGTACGCTACGCTAATTGATTGCCGATTGCCGGCCCTTCCAGGTCTGGATCTCAATCGGCATGTGACGGATGTCGAGAATTCGGCATCTGGATCCGAATCAGATGCGATCTTCGAGGGACAACGGACAACGGACAACGAACAACGGACAACGTATAACGGACAGCGGACTGCCGGCCACGGAGGAAATCCCTGCACTTGAGTCGTCGACGACGGGATAAAGTCATTTGTGGGCTGCTGCTGGCGTCGCTGCTCCGAGGATACGGTGTCCTGTCCTCCGAAAAAAGCCGCCCTGTTTTCCTGCCCGCTTTTCGGAAAAAGGAAAAGGAAAGGCGGAAAAGGGGGCGGGCGGCACTCGGCGCCCGGCGACCTTCAGTGCGCCGACTCCCCGGACTGTTATACTGTTCTACCAACGAAAACGGGGTGGTGAGCCGGGCCTTTTGGTCTTCGGGTTTTACTCCGAAAAAACGGCAACGGCAACGACAACGGCAACGGCGACTGCGACGCCGACGCTCAGTTTGGACTGCAATTTTCAGTGCGTTCGAAAGTTCGACAACTTTGGAAAACTGTCAGTTGGCAGCGAACTTAGAACAGGTAGAGACGCACGTTCCGCCTGGAAACTCGGTCTGAAGCGGAACAGGCTAGAAAGGAACATTGCCATTGCCATCCATCCAATCCCAATCCCCCTTCGTCATCTCGATAGGAAAAGCCGAAGGTTTTCCCTCGTCTCTTTTTTGAGTGTGTGTGTGTGTGTGTGCTGGCAGTTCGGAAAATGTGCGTCGACGTCGACAGCGACTGAAAACGGCGACGGCAACGGCAACAGCAACGGCGACGATGTAAAATTTTATTACCCCAAACGCATCGAGCAGTCGGGTTTTGGACGTCCGGACTTCACCGCCGCCTCGCTGCGACGCCAGACTTTTATTGCAGCTGCCATATATAGAGTGGGCATAGATTCCAAATGGTCAGGCCCGGAGAACCCAAAAACTTTGCTGAAGACGGACACAAACTTTTCCTAAGCGCGGCATAAAAGTGCAAAAGTTTTTGTTCGCAGCGCCACACAAAACTAAAAGAAAAACTTCGCAGCCGCGCAACCCCCTTTAACTTAAAACACAAAAAACAAAAAACCAACGAAGGAAAAACAAAAGAAAAGAAAAACAAAACAAAAATTGAATACCCAGTGCAATGCAATGCAAGCAGAAGCCCACAGAAATATAATAAACAAATGCTGCAAAAGTGCGTGGTCTAATTGATATATCAAGTATACAACCCGTAAGCCGGCTTCAGTTTACTAAAACTTAAACACTCTTAACTCTTAACACGAAGATATTTTTATTCGAAGATATCGCCGCCGTCACGTTAACAAAAGTGAGTTCAGTGTTTGTTTGTTTTTTGTTACTGTTTACCCAATTTTAGTTTGGCTTATTTTATGTGTGTTGGTGATATACATATCCTCTAAATCGGAGTGTTTGTTTGTGTGGATAATAACCAGTCGAAGCATCAGCATTATCAGCCAGCAGCCACATCACTATCAGCGAAACAAACAAAAAGAAACCAAAGGCCGTGAAAAAATGGCTTGCAAGAAAGTGCAGAGTGTTTCAATTTAAACTAAACGAAACGAATCCAAAATCGAAATCGCTAAGACAACCAAATCGAAAACAAAATCGAAACAGAAACAGAAACAGAATTCAGCAAATAGGTAAAGTTCACATATAAGTATTTGAATCTTGTAATATCCCTACTAGATCTTGCAATTTTTTGTATCGAACTGAAAAATGACAGTCTATATATATATATATATTGTATATACTATATACCATGCTGATCCTCACCCAGACCCGCCCCCTGCCCCTAAGAAGGCAAAACAAATTAAAAAAAAAAAAAAAAAACAAAGAAAAAATAGCAAAAAAAAAAACCAACAAGAACGAGAAAACAATCAAATGAGTAAGAACGAGCAGGAAAATAAAAATCGTAGAGAACAAGAACCAGAAATTCAATGCAACAAGAATAATCACATTGAGAATTTGACAAGCAAAATTGAAAATGAAGCTAACGTACAGCGAGAATCGATATCATCCTCCCACACATTTAGATCAGATCCCTTAGATCGTTTGCACAGTGGGGCAAGATCTCGTGTCTTTACTTCAAATAAGGATCAAATCTTGTTTACTTTCAGGTGAAATACAGGGTTTTATCAATTAAGGCAAAGAAGTTTTTATGATTTATTTCTACAACTGTCATAAACTATATTTTTTAAATAAGTTTTCAGCTAACTAAAGAAATTTGTACGAGAAGCAGATTTAAGATTCAGGTGTCGGTCGTCTTTTAATAGCATGTGCTTTACATTTTATGGTATCATTAAACTGAGCATCAAAACTCAAACCATAAAAAAGTTATCATTCTGAAAACCAACCATATTTATGATGACAACAAATCATTAAATCATCTGACACACTATTAGTAATTGTAACGTTTATCGAACGCCATTGAAAAAACTTTCTTGAACATCATTTCTCTTCTTGAACTCGAAAATCTAAAAAAAGAATTAGGCAAACCTTTTTTTTTTGGAAAGTTGGGTTAAATGGTAACACGATATTGGTTTCGGTTTAATAAGCCGCCAAAACATTTTTTGTTTGGGTGTTAATAGATTTGTTATTATTAATAATTGGGTAGATGGGTTACCGATTGAGCGGTCGCACGATATATTGTTTCGATTTTGTTTAGTCTGGTGGGCAAACGTTTTCCCACAAGCGAATGCGATTGGATGTCGCCTGCTGATGCTGCAAACTGTTAATCCACACAAGCAATGGGAGAGTTTGTAAAAAAAAAGCGTGTACAATATAAAGATTTCCTTCGACTCTCTTCCGATCAGCGGAGCTAAAGAGGGAAAAGCCAGGAAAAGCCACCGGGAAAATGGCGCTTTCCAAGCGGCCCCTCACCAAGGACACGCCCTTGTCCGAAAGCAACGGCAATCACTCCTCCAATGGCAACGATCACGAGACCTCCGTCAAGCGGCGCAAGCGTTGCAGTCGCGACGACGACTCCAATCTCAACACAAACAACAATAATAACAACAATAACAACAACAACAACAATAGTAATAGCAACAACAACTTGCCGCAGAAGAAACGCAAGCAGGGCCACAACATCGCCGACAGTCCGGAGAGTCCTGCGAACTGCGGCGGCGGCAACCTGCCCGCTGCTCCGCTGGCAAAAAGCAACAACACGGACGCGGATCAGGACGACGAGACGCTCATCCGCGAAACGCAGGCAGCCCTGAAGAGCCTCTCGGGCAGCTGGCCCGACTCCCGGGGCAATCTGTACAGGCTGCAGGAGCTGCAGGACGAGAATCCGCCGCCCTTCCAGAATCTCTTCGAGGAGAAGCAAAAGTATGAGGCCATCGGCAATCAATCCAGCCAAAATCCAACGATTCCAACACTCCAACACTTTCCCTCCTCCTCACTTTCCCGCAGACAAAAGGAGAACGATCAGGCGCGTTTAAACGCCAGTGGCATCGGCCATTTGGAGCGCAGCGGCAAGAAGTCACCCGAGGATCACGAGGATCACGAGCTGGAGGACACCGCCTCCTCCTTGGCCGGAGGTCAGGGAGTCTATGCCCAAGCGGCGTCGGCCTTCAAGCCGCCCATCGACATCATCAAGCGGAACTACGTGGCCGCCGCTCATGCCGCTCATTACAGCGCCTACAATGCGGCCGCTGCAGCCGAGTCCGCCGCGGGATTGGCCTACTATGGCTATGCCGCTGCCGCAGCCGCCAGTCAGCAGCAGCAACAACAGCAGCAACAGCAACAACAGCAGCAGCAACAGCAACAGCAGCAGCAGCAGCAACTGAGTACCGCCTTCGATATTGCCAGCCAGTTGAGCGAGAAGCAGCCGCGCGCCAAAGAACCGATGGCCGATGGCAAACAGTATACGATCCTTCAGCCAGCGGGCGTTGGCAGTCGGGCGGCGTCCGTCATGCAGGACATTGCCTCGCGCGAGGGCGTTGTGGGTGTACCGCTCGTGGCCACGCCCCCATCGACGGCGGCCAATAGTCCGACAGCGGCAGCGGCAACGGCAGGACCTTCAACGCCATCGACACCGGCGCCCAGTTATTCGCCGGGCAGCCAGAATCGCGGTAAGTGGTCCCAAATAGTAAAGTCATGTCATAACAGACAAGAAACCGAGTGATTTTCCCCGTTGACTGTGATGAGTTGATGTTGGCTGGAAAAAAAAAAATCCTGTGAAACCGTACTGTGATCTGGCATTACAAGTGCTGCGAACAAAAGTAGTAAAACGATAGAACTTATTAAAAAACAGTGTTGTAAATGGTACTACGATTCGCGCTGTTAACTGTATTTCGATTATTTTGAAAAGTTTAAATAGTATTGGAAGAAGACACCGATTTACTGTAAATATTACTGTGGTTTCATGTGCGTGAAAAAATAAATTGTTGAAAAGCAGTACAGTGCTGCTTGGTGTGATTCGCAGTAATTCGTAGTGTTGTTAAACGTAGCATGATGCAGCTGCAGATGATCCTGCTTTTCAATAATCCATTAGAAATAATACTCAAATACTGTTGTGTAAGCACTTGTAAGCCAGTACAGTATTGACCAGCTAATTCGCCAGCGATTCGATGTGGTTCGGTTGGGTTTCCGTTTCCGGGTCGACTGATCTACTGATCGACTGATCGACTGATCGGCTTATGTGCGAGACTTCTTGTTGCATTGAGTTTACCACTTCAATTGGCAAAATCAGAACTAACTCCCCCCCGTCCCTCCCGCCCCCCAAAACCAACCCAAACTTAACCCCTGAGAGAGAGAGAGAGAGAGAGACAGAGAACAAGAGAGAGAGAAAGTGTGTGTGAATGAGTCTTCGGCTGTTGGGATGATCATCGCCCCAAAAAAAAATAAATAAATAAGGGAAAACAGAGAAAAGAGAGAGAGACACTCACTCAATTCGCCCTATGACTTATCATTATTATTTGCACGGCCCCCAACTTCGAAGTACCACACATATCTAAAAATAAAACCCTTTTTGCAGCTCATTCAGCAGCCAAAAAGACATTAAGCGATTTTGTCGTTATGAAAATGGGATCGGTAAGGGTAAGGGTAAGGGGTCGACTTTGTGTTGTGTTCTGTTTTTTGGCGACGAGGGGTCGGGGTTCTCGAGCAGCGCACAACAACTAATGGCTTGTAAACCCTTTATGCCGCACAACACTGAACTGAGGCACATGGACATGGACAGACAGACATCTTTTGGTTGAGTGCCTGAGCCTTGAGCTTTGCCTTCTACTAATTTCGCTGTACAATTTCCACAGACGACGAACATGACGAAAGGGGGCGGGTAGGGTAAGTGGGTGTGGCATGATTAGATATAAAGCATTATGAGCACGTTTTCCTTCAAAAACCACTTTTGCATATTTATTTTGTCATTATGTTTTGGCATTAATATGCTCAACCAGCAGCTCTTTCACTTTCTTTGTGTGTATGTGTGTGTGTTTATGTGTGTGTGAGTGTGTAGGCTTGTGTGTGTTTGGTATTCATATAATTTGAATGACTTTTTAAATAGTTGACGGAAGCCTTAGACTCTAAAACCCGCTGTGCGTATACGTAATAAGTCATTAGCGTGCGGCAAGCCTTGCTGTTATTGTTTTAGCCTCTTTGCTAATGTGGCTTATTAGGCTTAACCCTTCAAGTGTGTGAGTGTGTGTATGTGTGTGTGAGTGTTTGTTCTCCTAACTCTAGACTCTAGACTCTTCGCAATCTTTAGTTTTCCTCTTGTATCTCTGCTACGTTTTTTTCGTCTTTTTTGGTTGTGCTCCTCCACACACACACTGGGAAATTTTCTAATGCACAAACACTTCAGAGCTCAGAACCTCAGCCCACTCGGCTTTATTTTAATTAAATTCTAATTAGAGACGAGTCGGTCCTTTTACCTTTGCCTGCGCTTTCCTTTCCGCCTGCTGCAGTTTGACATTTTGCCCGGCCACGTAATAGACAGAAAACAGGAGTAAAATATTTCGAAAAATATTTCATTAACCAACCCCCCGCTTTTTGGGCTCTGCGATATCACGCACCGCACATCACATACATCAGAATGTGTTCTCCGGGGGGTCGGCATTTTATCTTCGAGAAGTTGCGCTTAGAAAAGCGAGCAAGTTTTTTGGGTCTGGTTTGGTTTGATTTTTGAAGCTGTCTCGTCGGCGGCGGCGAAACCCCTTCTCCGCAACTTCCCCTCCTCGGCTGACAGTCATGTGTGTGTTTCCTCAGCGTGGGCTTTTTAAAGTAAATAATGCAAAGCTGTTTTCCATCAAATTTTAATTAATTATTTAGGGTAAAAGAATTCGTGTTGCCTGCTGTTGCTGCCACTGCTTCCTCTATCGCATTGCTGTTTTTTTTTTTTTTTTTTGAGGGGTTTTTCGGGCCGGGGAATTTGTCGGATGGGAGGAGGTCCACGTCAACTTGTCTCTCGCTGTCGCCTGCCATATAATTAATTAGAAAACATATTCACCCACTCTTTCACTCTTTCCACCTGTCTCATTCTGGCATATATATTGCCATTGCCATTGCCATTGCCCCGACCCGCCAGCTCAACGTTGAATTTAAGTTTTTCTGTTAATTGGTTAATTGTAGATGGCGCCAAGTGCCCAACGCCGCATTGTATGGGCCAAGGACATGTCACCGGATTGTATTCGCACCATCGCAGGTACCCATCCCATCCATCCATATGATTCCCTGCGAGTCTCCCTTCTGCCTTCTCTCTCACTCACTCAACGATACATCCGTCTTTCTCTTGCATACTTTTCGATCGATCTGCCGTTGTTGGAACTTTGACAGTTTGTCGGGTTGTCCGAAGCGCGATAAAGTCACCACAGAATGTAAGTTTCCCAGAAATACCTAAGATTCGCATGCCTAGTGTGTATGCCTCTAGTAGTCGCTCTATCTCTCTTTCTCCGAATCTCTGTCTCTGTCTCTCTCTCTCTCTCTAACTGTCAATCTGTCTCTGTCTCTTTACCTCCTAGTGAAATCTTGAGTGTGAAAGTTCTATTGTCGGTGCGGTCTTTCGATTTCTCCTTTCAGATTGTATAGAATTTTTCCTATAAGCAGTTTTATGTTGTAGAATCAGTTTTCTGGTATTCAGATCATCTTCATCTTCTTGCAGAAACAAAATTTGAATTTATTTTGTTGAAACGTATACGCTATTTTCTCTTTTCAACTTTTATGTTTGATAATGTTAATTCTTTATAATTTACTTATTTTCTTATACAATACTATAATTTATACTACAGTAGTATCTATTTTATTAGAAGATTTTCGGAGCAGTGAAAATGCATGTGGGTTGTCAGTTTCTCAAAAGGACTCGCTCTACAAAATCTTTCACTGATCCTAAAGTTTGTGTGGCTTGATTGAAGATCCTTTCGCCTTTCTATCATATCTCTGTCTCTCTCTCTGTCCTCTGTCTCCTCTCTTTCACTCACTTTCTCTGCTTCTCTGTCCCTGATTGTGGAATGCGTTGTTGTCGTAGTCGTGCCATTACCGCTGATCCCGCCGATACTCCCATCGGAGTGTCGTGGAACGTGGATCATCTGAGCAACTGACTGACCGATTCCCATGCACTTGCAGTGCTGGCTCTGCACGAGCAGATCCTGAAATGCCCGACGCCCGGGTGCAATGGTCGTGGGCACGTGCAGCCGCACCGCAGCGTGCACCGCAGCCTCTCCGGTTGTCCGCGGGCCGTAAGGCGCTCCGGCGGAACGAGTCGCCGTCCGGGAGCGGCACTCGCACCACTCGCACCGCTAGCACCACTGGCAGCAACAGCAGGTGAACCACTCTAGAAACTCGAGCCACCCGAAAGCCGAAAGTCGATTGTGTGTGAACGAACCCCCGTTTATAAATCACTTAACTTCACCCCGAAACCCACCTTATCCCAATTATGATCCACCAGATCCAGCAGATCTCTGTAACGCCCTTTTTCTGTTCTATCGCTCCATGTCTTGCTCTGCTTCTTCTCGCACCCTCTAGCCGAACTGGAGAAGCACGAGAAGGAACTGCATCCGCTGGACAAACTGAAGCTCGCCTCCAACCACTATCTGAACAACAACAACAGCAGTTGCATCAACAACAACAACAACAACAACGTCAGTGGGAAACTGAGTGGCACAACGATGCCGATTATCAAATCAGAGTACAGTCCCGTAGCCAGCATCAAATCGGAGTACAATAAGAGCCCCATGCACTCGTATCTCTCGGGGGACGCGGCCGCGCCCGTTCCCTCCACCCCCAACTCCTCCTCCTCCTCGGGGAGCGCAGCCCAAGCGCCGCGTTCCGGATCGGCGAGCGGGGCAGCATCAGCGGTATCGGTATCGGTGTCGAACGGTGAGAACAACCTGCACGCCCCGCACCTCAGCCGCTTTGTGGGGCTCCAGAGTCCGCCGCACCAGCCGCACCTCAATCCGCACGGCCACCACCAGCAACAGCAACAACAGCAGCAGCAACAGCAGCAGCAGCAACAGCAGCAACAACAGCAACAACAGCAACAGCAGCAGCAGCAACAGCAACACACGCTGCACCAGCAGCGAGGACCCTTCATCGAGGGCAACGACGTCTCCGATCCCTCGACCACTTATCACTCGGAGCACCAGCAGCAGCAGCAGCAGCAGCAGGCGGACGAGCGGCAGCAGCAGTACGAACAGATGCGGCAGCAGTACGCCCAGAGCCACGTGAGCGTCGGTCCCGGTGGCGAGTTAATGGCGCCCAACGTGGGCGAGTTGTCGCCGGGAACGGCGAGAAGCGCCTACGAGGCGGCGGGACATCCGGGCCATGCCGGCCATCCCCATCCGGGTCATCCGCATCCGGGACACCCGCATCCACATCCGCCCGTCTCGCTGAGCTCCCTCAGCTCGCCAGCCTTCGCCGTCGACGCGGTGACGGCGGCCAGCGGAGCGGGATTCGAGCGGTACGATCCGAGCGGCGGCGTCTGCTGCCCGAGCAACGGACAAAGGGCCACCTCGGCATCGGCATCGGCATCGGTGGCAACGGCAGCCGGAGCATCGGCGGCGGCGGCCGCCTACCACTATCTGCCCCAAACCACCGACGAGATGCAGGCCCAGCAGCAGAAATACCTGCAGGAGCAGCAGCTCATGCTGGCCAAGGCGGAGCACGAGGAGCTGGCCAACGGCGGTCAGCCGCTGTATCCGCGACCCATGTATCACTACGATCCCACGATGGGACCCCTGCCGCCGGGCTTCTCGGCCATCAATCTCTCCGTGAAGATGGCCGCCGCCCAGGCAGCAGCTGCAGCGGCCGCCTACCAGAATCAGCAGCAACAGCAACAGCAGCAGCAACAACAGCAGCAACAGCAGCAGCAACAGCAGCAACACCACCAGCAACAACAGCAACAGCAGCAGCAACAACATGGCAAGCAGAGCAGCTCGCCTGCACCGAATGTCGGCGGTGTGCCGGCGGTGGATCTGAGTGGCTCCACCTCGGTGACGAGCAGCAGTCCGCACGGTTTCAACTCGCCAGCCTCGCACAACCAGTACACCGCCCAGCGGATGGGCAACGGCAGTCCGCAGCCAGGAGCCAGTCCGAACATCGCCAGTCCCCAGGTGCCCAGTCCCCAGGGACAGACGCTGGACCTCAGCGTCACGCGCTTGCCACATAGGTAAGATCTCGATCTCACTCAGCCACTTTGTCACAGAAGTCTGGGGTTGGAGTAAACCAAAGTAAACAGTCTTATTATATTGTTACATTAATACTATATTTGTAGTATTGAAGTAGCTATATAATGTACTTCATTTGAAGCACTTCATCCGACTAAACGTTCGGCTTGGAAATAACCATAGTCAACTAACTGGTTAACCCATCTGTTTATCCATCCTATTTACAGCATTATTACGAGTCCACAGTACGGCGCCGATGGCCTGGTGGTCGGTCACGCCCAGGGTTTCGTGAGTGGAGCGACAGGACCTCTGGGTCCTGGCAATGGCGGACCGCCGCGTTCGCCGCAAATGGAACCGGTGGACTTCAGTGGACCGCCACGACCTCTGGGTTTTGGATTGGTGGGTCACATCAGCGGTCCGCGACCCTACAGCCGCGAATCCACGCCGGACAGCGGTGGCTCCCACTATATTGAAACCTATCGGGATCCCAGTGGTAAGTACTCTTCTAATCTTGTCATTGATTTCTGATTTGAAATCTCTAGAGATTTGGGGGCTTTATTTAGTATAGTATGTTCGTGTAACAAAAGCGAGAATATCTATTTGTTTAATTTTAGATCCTTCTGTCCTTGCAGGCTACTCGCCGCATCCCGGCTACGGGATGGTGGTGCAGTCGGACTATCCGCCAGCTGGATACCACGGCTACGGCCCGGCTGCCTACCAGTGCAGCAATCCGTACGCCACGGCCGTCGGTCCCGGTGGCTATCCCACGCCCGTTTCCGGCGGATACTCGCCCAGTCCGGCCACCTGCTACTCGATGCCACCGCCGCAGCACATCCCGCAGCACGACAAGTCCAAGGACGGGTGAGTTCTCCCACCCCCTTTGGTGGATTAGTACAATAGTCAGAGGGTGGACTTTGCCTTTTTCCCAGCCTGGTTAATGATTCATGCAGTAATTGGCCATAGGTTGACCATCCATCTGTCTTTTGCACAGTGTTTCCCTTTCGCAATCCATCTTTGTCACGAGAAAAGTGTCTCGGCAACACCTGTAGAAATAGAAACAGAAATTTGAGTGGCTCAAGAAGTAGTTGAAAGATTAGATAGAAATTAAACCCCAAAGCCCACAAATGAAGTAAAAGGTTTAAATTGTAGACTAAAGCTTAAAAAAGTTAAACTTTCTGGAGTTCATGAGCACATCTTCATGGACTTCTGGCGGATAGTAAAGTCCAGGGTCGAGAGGCTTTAATATTTATGATTACGAGTGAACGTGGCCGCAGAGCGGTCGTAAAATCCCCAGTCTCAGTCCCTTTTGCCAGCCAACCAGCCAGTCAGCCAGCCAGCCACCCCGTGATTAAACAAAACTTTAAAACCGAAAGTTTCAAGTCCAAAGTCTTAGCCGCTCGAACAGACACAGACATATGAAGTTCCCTTATCTGGCCACGACCACTTGGCCTGCTTTTCGATCTAGGCCTGAGTTCGGGTCACTTGCTAATCCCTCTCCTTGACTTTCCCCCTTTCCTCCTTGGAATCTCCCCGGCAGATTGACGGGCTGCTCTCGCTCGGACCGCAACCATCTGCAATCGCACTCGCAGGAGCTCAAGTGCCCAACGCCGGGATGCGATGGCTCTGGCCACGTGACCGGCAACTACTCCTCCCGCACCGCAGCCTCTCCGGCTGTCCAAGGGCCAACAAGCCGAAGAGCAAGCCCCGCGATGGCCAGGACTCGGAGCCGCTGAGGTGCCCCATTCCGGGATGCGATGGCTCCGGCCACTCCACCGGCAAGTTCCTCTCCCACAGAAGGTGAGTTTGGTAGTTGGTTAGGTGGTTAATGGAAGTGTTTCCTTAACTTTCAAATAATCCTTTTCTAGCGCCTCGGGCTGTCCGATTGCCAATCGTAACAAGATGCGAGTCCTGGAGGCCGGCGGCACTGTGGAGCAGCACAAGGCCGCTTTGGCAGCTGCCACGGCAATGAAGTTCGATGGTAAGTGAACGAAACTACAACTTGCAGAGGCTTTTCAAAATATCCTATTCATATATTCAACTATTTAAAAAACATTTAATTTCAATTTTCTAATAAATAAATTCTTCCGATTCTTCTTTTTTGGTAACTTTATTTCATAGCGTGCACCACGGTGGGCAGCCAGGGCATCAAGAAGCCCAAGTTCGACGAGGTCACCATGGTCTATCCCAAGGGTTATACAGGTGAGTGCTCCGATCTCAGACGCTTCATCTCGCTCTCCTTCTCTCTCGCTGTCTCTCTCTTGCGTGTATTTTTCTGTTATGAACTGGGCCCAAGGCCAATATACCAAATCCCTCCTAGATCGAAATGGGGGTTGGGTTATAATGGCCTTGTCACGAAGTTAGCAACACACAAAGAAGAACAATAGTTCCGTATTCAGTATTCCTATAGAGAATTCCTCCAAGCTACTAGTTTATTATTTTCATTAAAAAAAACCTCGAAGAACTCTTCTTCTCTGTTGTTGCTCGCTTTTTGTCTTGATCATTTTCGGTTGGAATTTTGTGTGCGTGTGCTAAAGTCAAATGAAAAATAATAGAAAGCATCAAAAGAAATGAAAAACAACTATTTAGAATGAAGTAACTTTATTTTTGGTTTTGGTTTCGGAAAATGCAACACAAAAAGAATTTTTTGAAAAAAACAGATCTAGAAAATTTTCGTTACGTTTCGAAATCGAAATCCCACAACCTCCGACAACACCAACTCCCCCGAAAACCAACCACTCACTCGAAATATCCTACGAAAATCCTTCCAAAAGAAACCCGGTACATAACAAGAACCCGTTAATATCCAAGAACACACACACGCACAAATTGCAAAATGTGTGCGTGTGTGTGATTCGAACAAGAGAAACAAAGCAAAAGCAAAAGCAAAGCAAAAGCAACAAAGAAGCTGATCGATCAAAAGAGAAAGAAACAATTAAATTCCTAGTTTTAATTCTAATTTAATTCTGTGTTTCTTCTTTTCGTTTCGTTTCATGTCGTTTTTGTTGACGTTTTCTTTTAGATTACGCAACGTTTTGTATCGGTGCCGAGTATCTACTGTAAATAGAAAACGAAACCACTGAATCGCAGTCAAAACAGTCCGAATCGAATCGAAACTGAAACCGAAACTGAAACTGAAACTGAAACCACAACCAGCAACCAAAAATAAATGCAATGAAAATCCAAATGCAGCAGAATAAGAACCAAATACAGAACAGAACCCCCAAAAAACAATAACCAATTTCAAGTGTCTGTATATACCAAAACGAAAGACAGCAAGGCGTAAAGACCACAAATTGTCATAAAAACCAACTCACACTAAAATCAGAGAATCCAAATATACAAAAAATATGTACATACAAAAATTGCCAGGGAGTCTGTTGATCAAGGTAAGCCCGAAGAAAAGATGATTATACCCACTTGAACACCAAATAACTTACACATACCCACTTACTTTTACACCCTCACTGAGTCAGATGATTTTGTTTTTAAGTGATTCGTTGCAAGTGTTTCTTACAATGTGATTTTAAGCAGCTATTACCTTAGTTTTTTTTATTGTCCAAAGGTGTGACTTTGTTGAAGTGTTCAGTTTTAGTTAGTAAACCAATCTAAAAGCCAGTTGTAAACGATGCAGCGATCGAATGTGGAGGAAGGAAGTGTCTGCGTTTACAACTCTTTAAAGATCCACTACACATCACTCCCCATGAAATGTGACTGACAAACAACATTCACACCACACCACACACACCCACACCAACTCACACTAGTGCCCATTGAGTTGCTAGCACACGCGCACATTGACGAACCGTGGAATGCCAGACGATCCCACAGATAATACAAAAAAAAAAAAAGAAAAAAAAAAATAATAGAGAAAAGACAATACAGCATATCGAAGATAGATCGTAGGAGCGAACCACTCACTAACGAAGCCTCTCTCCACTCGGAACAGGCGGCAGCGGACTGGACATAGTCATGGGCGGCGTGGGGAGCTCCGTTGGACTGGGTCTAAATGTCGGCATCGGGGTCACCAGTAGCAGCAGCAGCAGTGCCGGCGGTAGCAACAACACCAGCGGTAGCAGCAACACCAGCGGATCCGACAAGAATCCATCGGTGGGCGGCGGTGGTCCATCCACGGGCGCCGCCGGAAGCGATGACCTGAACACCCTGGAGGCCGAGATCTCGGAGCTTCAGCGGGAGAACGCGCGGGTCGAGTCGCAGATGATGCGACTCAAGTCGGACATCAACGCCATGGAGTCGCAGCTGAGCACCAGCGATCGGGTATGTAGGCTCAGGTTCGTTGACGGCAACAAATTATGAGACCAAGTCCATTCCCCCACTAGGCTAAGCGCACGAACTTTGCAGACGATGGTCACACTGAAAGTTTTGCACAACCCTCCCCCCTTTGCACTTCTCCTCCCACTTCCCTCCGTCCCCGCACTTGAAAACTTTCGACTCAAACGAGACTTTGAGTGGAGTTCTTTCTGTCCCATAGCCATAGTATCGCTCCTTTGTTGTTTTTGAGTTTGTACGCTCTGTCGTCACCTGAGCGAGTTTTGTGTCTTGGCACTTTTCAAGGACGTCTCTAAAACTCGGCGAAAAAACAATGAACAGAGCAGCAAACAACAAGTGAAACAAAGTAAAGTAAAGTTAAGTAAAGTGAAATAAACTTAGGCTAAAGTTGAATCAAAAACGAGGGCGCGAGCGAAAAGTTTTATCAGCCGCCGACGTTATATTGCCTGGGATCCTGCTTTCTTCTTTCTTTTTTTCTTTTTTTTTTTTTTGCTTTTTCAAGCCTAAACAGCATGCACAGTGAAAAATATGGATTGAAAGCTAGTCAAAGGGGGAGAAACAAGAGTAATTAGAAATTCTTTAATTTTTTTTTTTGTAAATACTAAAGTTGCGGAAGGATTGAATTATTTTTTCGGTAGACAAGTCCAGGAATGCGTCGTTATTTCTATGGATTATATGTTATGTTATTTGCTAGGGGTAATTAATATTCAAATCAGCATTCTTAAGACAATTTACGCATGTTCAATATCAGCTGAGTGCTATTTGTTTTCTGGCTGTGCAAGAAATCCACCCGAAATGCAGTGCACTTCACTCCACCCTCTCGTTGACGTCAGCCAATCGGTGACGTTGCATCCTCACTGCATCGGGCGGCGAATCAGAATCGGTGGTGCCGTGTGAAGAGGAAGGGGCAGGGGGTGTGGCAGGAGTCGGCAGGCACACCCCTAAGTACACCCCACACCCACACACACACACGTATCCCTAGAGCGCACGAGTGTGGCGACGTGTGTGTGCGTTGGTCATGCGCAGGCCATGTTGCAGCCCAAAAACGAGGCGCCAACAAATCGCAGGACGCCATTCGATTTGCTCCTAAAAACTGGGAAGTGGGGCGAACAGAAAAAAAAAACAAAAAAAAAACAAGACGAGTCGAGAAAAGAAAGACAGAACAAGTCCAGCCAGCAATAACTGTTCTACAAGGACGCCGGCAGCGACGTCGACGCAGCATTAACCTTTGTGTTTCGTTGGGGTCGCCCCAGGCCCCCAAAAACTCCGAAAAAACCCACACCCAAAGCTGAATATCTCGCTCTCTCTTTCGCTCTCCCTCTTTCGGTCCCTGTCTGTCTCTTTCTGACGACGGTGTTCGTGTGACTTCGTTCAGGATTCGTCTCTCTTTTTTTTTTTTTGCCCCCAACTTTCACCCAACCCCATTTGTTTTCGTTTTTTTTTCTTTGTGTGTGCTTTGTGTTTGTTACTCCTGTGTGTGATGGTGCGTTCTTATTGGAATTTTTCTACACATATGTGTGCTCACATGAGCAGGGGTCTATGTACGTGGACCCCATCCAATCGAGTAATTGGATACCGATTCTGTGACCATCGTCTGGGTTTCTTTCAAGCACCACTAACCGCCGGCCCGCTAACCATGTCCATGTATGTGCCTTCATTTTTTAGGAGGCTTCTCCACTGAGCGGCCATCAGCAGCAACAGCAGCAGCAGCAGCAGCAAAGCCAGCAGCAGCGTTCCTCGGTGGCTTTGGCCTCGCCCAGCGGTCAATCGCCATTCGCCAGTGTGAGCTCCACCAGTGGCACGTCCACCGTGAGCGGGGGCCAGCCACCACCGCTGGCAACAACAACAGCAACGGCAGCACCGCCAATGCCAACGATCTGAACCACTCAATCAGCAATTTAGCGCCCAGTTCGGGGAGCAATCCGAACCAGACGATTGATGGAGGAGCCCCACCGAATAATCTGAACAACTACTACGAGAGCCTGAGGAACAATGTGATCACGCTGCTGGAGCATGTGCGTCTGCCGCCGCCACCACCGCCGCCACCAGGTGCAACCACAAGCGGATCGACGTCCGGCTCCTCCTCGGTGGTTCACGGCCTGGACAATGTGTTGGGTGGTGTGGGTGGCGGGGGTCAGCTGGTGACCGGAGGATCCCTGGAGCACGCAGCCTACTCAACGCTCCTGCCGCCACCGCCACCACCGCCCACTTCGGGTGGTGCAGCTTCAGCCGCCGGTGGAGGAATGTACGGTGGTGGAGGAGGCGGCGGCGTTGGTGGTGGTCACCAAGGTGGCAACTCGGGCAACAGTGGAGCGGTGGGTCCACCGACGGTACCGCCACACCACTCGCATCCTTACACGGTGCACCATCCGGTCAGCTATGCCCATCCGCATGCCCATCCGCACGCACATCCGCATCCGCACGAGCACTTCGACTCGTACATCTCGAAGCTGCAGTCGCTGTGCGTTCCCCCAGATGTTTATGCCCTGCCCGAGGACTCGGAGCGACCCGTCTACAACTCGGTGAAGCCCTCGATGCACCAGGACTACGGCAAACTGATGCCGACGCCCATCTAAGAGCGATTAATCAGCGATGCCATAGCCCTAAGCTGGTGACCCCAAGAAGGCCGCAGAGCCACAGATCCATAGATCCATAGATCCCGTCCAGGGCTCAAAAACTGTAACAGCAACTGTAAATACCTAAATGCGAGCAGTAAAACGAGGGAAGCGAGTGAGGGGTTAACAGGTTAAACTGGCGTTATTCATAGGCCTGACTTCAAGGCAGACTATACAAGTACGAATAAAAACTGGGGTCACGATGTCGGGGTCACCCCACCCGGTCACCCCTGCCCGTGCACGACCCGTTAGCTTATACATTGAACTAGTTGTTAGTTGGGATATCGGGACACCGCTAGTCCCAGTGTTTAGTACTTAGAACTGTTCCACATCCTAGATCCTAGACGCTTTCGTCGTGTGTTGATAGCAACTCTGTATAAAACAAGAAACGCAAAACCGAAACATAAGTGTGTAATTCGATTATAAATTGCAATTTTTTTTGTCTGTATCAAATACTAAAAACTAGAAGTTATACAAATCGATATATATATATATATATATATATAAATGATAAAAGAAAAACCCAATTATATGTTTAAACGTAGGGCATTTGTTTGGTGTTAATGTCTGGTCAATTTTTTGCATACGGAACGCAAGACGTTCGCAACTATTAATAGCCCCTGCCCAATAAGCCCACGTAGTACCCTTTAGCCCATATCCCCCCGCAGGCTAAGTTTAGTTTAGTGGCAAAGTCGAACACCAAAAGTGGAAAAACTAAGTAAAATACACAAACATATAACATGCAAATATAATCAGTACTTTAATTAGTGGATGTAGTTGTACGAGATTTTTTTTTTTTTTTTTTTTGTGTAAAATGTAATAGTAATATCAGCGAATATCTAAAACTATAATGGGTAAGTGTGTGTGAAAGGAAGTGAGAGTTTTGGGTGGCGCGAGGTGGCATTACATACATACAATCGGAAAAAAGGCTAAACACGCGTACATATGCAGATTATATCAGTGTGTGTGTGTGTATGTGTGCATGTCTGCTTCTCTGTAGGATCGTAAGTTTTAATGTTACCCCTTACGAAAGACCGCAGATTCTAACAAAGAGAACGAAGAACGAATAGATTAAAATTCAGTGCAATACAGTCAACCAAATGAAATGGCGAAACCGGAAACCAAAATCGTAATAAACTAATTGTGTAAGCTTAAGTAAACAAAAAATGTAGTTGAGCAAAATGTCACGTTTTTTTTTGTATTGTCATACGTCTAATCTTAAACTTAACTATAACTAAAGAAAAAGATATAAACCGTAGAACGAAGAAGGAACCCCCAAAACCGCAAGGTAATTTAGACGAATTTTAAAAAACAAAAAACAAATTGAAAAAGTTGAAAACAAAAAAAAATTACGACGAAAAAGGCGAGAGAGAGTATGAAAATAAATAGCAGGCTTAAAAGAATCATTGTACGTAATGAAGTAATGCATTACGATGATTAAAATAATTACACTAAACTAAACATAAATCTAAAATACATATATATAATATAATATTGTATTGTATTGTATGACAAGAAACAATTCTGTAATTTACAACCGAAAATATTTTATGTGATCATTGTCTTTTTTTTTAATATTACAAGAAATAAATAATTCGAATACCAAATAAAGGATATACACAATAATGGAATAGTTGTTTGCAATCCGATTTGGGTTTCTCATTTGATTTTGTGGTGTGAAAAAAAAGTTAAATTATTGTTTGCTTTTGATTACTACTCATATTTATTTGTTCGGCAAACACTTATTTACCCGCTTACTTAATTGCTGTTCCTGCATTAGCATAAATCAGTGGTATTTTTTTTATTTTGGTTTTTGGGCAATGATAATCGAATGAAAAATGGACAGCCATTTCTTGGCAACGTTTTTAATTTCAATTAGCCACTGGCTAAACGACGGAGGATGCTGGTCAAGGAGCAGCAGGCCGGGCTGGCTGGCCATGTTCTCCGGTTTGCTGCCACTTGATTTATGTGGCTTCATTAGACATTCCGCACATTGCTGGTGGCCGAAAGGGGGAAGGCGGCCCAGTAACCAGGGGCTAAGTGATTGCCAAAAACTAAGGGCCAAACACAATTAGAAACCAGCCGAAAAGCTAAATCCAATGAGCGCTGAACGCAGAAGTGGGATGTGCTTTTGGTTTTTCTCTTTTTTTTTTTTTGCTAGTTTTGGGTTTTCCGGGGAATTTGTGAAGTGCCTCGATTGACCAGCATGGAATATTTTCGGTTGCCACCTCAAGCACTCAAAGTGAAAACCAAAAAAAAAATAAAAAAAAAACTAGAAGGGTCGTCCGGTTTTGGTTTGTGTTTTCTCGTGTGAGCCGCAAAAATATTTGCATAGTTACCTTTAATGTGGTTCGGTTCAGGTCGGTTCAGAGTTCACAGGACTCGCAGTTCGCAGTCTCGATGCAAAGTTCTTCAAAAACAAACGAACAAAAGTTTTCCTTGCACAAACACACACACACACACACAGAAACTCGTACATGCTGGCATGTAATTTAAAATGAAAAATTCTATTCTTTTGACGCAATCACAATCACAAACACACACACACACACACTACATCGCCATTCCGCAGGAGACAACTCACATACACACATACGTCAGCGAGCATTGATTTCATTTGCATAAATAAGGAAAAACCCTGTTGGCCGGGGGAAATGCCCCCGAAAGGTTGGGGGTGGGGGTGGGGGACGTTGTGGGTGGACTGGGTTGCGAAAGGACCTCTTTGTGCGGCTGATAACGTGCTGCAGGAGAAACTATTGCCTACTTTCGAGCGCCGAGCGAAAAGAGTCGCACGCTTGAACAGTGGGTCAAAAAGGCTGGGAAACCCAAGACGATTAATAATATCTAATAAGGAATTTTACTTGTATCATAAATTGATAATCATCTATTAAATTATTTAATTAATTATTATTATTTAATAATTATTAGTTAAGACATTTGGCAGGTAGACAAAGAGAATTATAATGAGCCTTAAATTCTAACAGCCATGATATCATTGAACTTCTATAATTTAGTAAACATTTCTTTTATGAATACCCTCCTTGTAATTTGTATCGATACTGCTAAAAAATTACATTAGAAATTTTAAAGATTTTGACTTTTCATTTAAATACCTGCTAGTGCTACAAGATTCGTATTGCAATTAATATAATTAATTGGTATATAATTTTTACCACTGTGCCATGAACTGTCACTCCCCCACTCCGCCACCGAAAACTCCTTTCCGAACCCCTTCCCCAACCCATTACCCTACCCCTTCCACGTATGCGTACGTTGAGGGCGGCGGCAGTCAAAAATCGCATAAATTAAAAAACTGCACACACTCACGCACAGACATGCGATAGATGGGAGTTTGGGAGCTGGGAGCCGGGAGTTGGGATCTGGGTAATGGTGGTTGTGGTGGTGGGAGGCAATGGCAACCCTTTGTGCCAGGATCCCTCCCGCCCCCCGGCACCGCCCCCCGCCCAGCTGTCGCTCACCACCAAGGAAGTAATAAAGTATCTCGAAAGTAACTTATTAACCATGCTGACAACGCTGCCAGCGAAGAGCTCCTGGAGCTCCAGACACACACACAAATACACACACACATACAGCTAGAGCCAGGATACCAGGACATCAGGAGGATGTGTCTGTGCAACACACTCACAAGCCTCCGCAGAGGGAATTTTTGGAGTGGGCCAAGGGTAGTCATGTTTCATGTCTGCTAATTGCAAGTCGATTTTTCATTTCGCATTTCTCTCCAGAGTGTCGTAGTGGACCTGGGACCCCGACATCGACCTCAACCTGGAGCCAAAGCCGAATCCCCATTCGAACCTGGGGTCCAAAACGTACACGGCGAAAAAAGTGGCCATTGACCATTAAAGAGCATACGGATCATGATTAAGAATACTTTTTAGAGCTTAACAAGAAGATCGCGAGGTCTTATGGCTTACCAAAAATCATTTTTATGTATAACAATTTCAGTCAGAAGTAAAATAAAGTAGGTATATATATTCTTGATCAGCATCACGATCTGAATCGAAATACGTCTGTACGTCTGTCCCGTCTGTCCGAAAACAAAAAGTTTTTTAAGATTTGTTTACATTGGAAAAATGCTTGATTTTGTGATTTATTGGTTTAATTTGTTCTATTTTTGCAAATTAACATGCTAAATGGAAAATGTAAAAATGTACAACAAAATGTTAGTTAACATTAAGTTAACATTAGTTTTAATTTTTAATGTTAATGTAATGTAAATGTAATGTTAATTACATTAACTCATGGCCACGTCACCCTCGATGATAATTAAATATTTTTTCGGTTTTCTTGGACTTATAGTTCCCAACTTGTTTTGGCCGGATCGTAGTGGGATAGGGCTTGATTTTGGCCAATTCCTCAGTTCTCCGGGATGACCGGCAGTTTCTCTGAGAAACTGTTTCCGGTTTTTGGAAGTGTGTGTGTGTTTGTGAAGTGCTTCCTTCTACTGGACGCCACTCCAGGATGCAGTGCATCATCATAATTAAAAAATTTAATTATGATTTTCACTCTTTCCAGTTGCAGGAGATGCTGATCCCTTCCTGCTTTTGGTGGTCTATAGGATGCAGTGCCTCCAAACCCAATAAGGTAAGTACAATTTTTTAAATTGGCGTGATGACGTGGTGGCCGTGTAAAATCAATTAAAATATTCAATATATCTTGACACCTCAGACCCCATAAAGTATATATATTCTTGATCAGCATCACGATCTGAATCGAAATACGTCTGTCCTCCTGTCTGTTTCTATGTAAACTAGTCTCTAAGTTTTAAAGCTATCTTGCTGAAACTTTTTCAAAAGTTTTGAAGTTATTACACGCACTATATACATAAGTCGGATCGGGCCGGATCGGGCGACTATATCGAATAGCTCCCATAGAAGAAAATGAAGAAAAAAAATTCTCACGTCGTTGTTTATTATCTTGATTTCTTCCAGGTAGTGTTTTCTAACTACTTTTGAATTTCGAATTCATTTTTATCAAAATGGGATAAATATATCATATAGCTGCCATAGGAAAGATGACTGCAAGGGTATATAAACTTCGGCTCGCCGAAGCTAGCTTTTTTTCTCGATCTATAATAAGTTAGAAATTTTTTATGAAAACTTTTAAATATATACATATCGAAAGTGTGAAACGGGGGTTTTGGAATATCGTACCCAAATTTTTTTTTGAGTGCCACAAAGGAGCTGGACAAGGAACTGATTGAGTCTGTGGAAATTGTTGAGGTTTCCGCTGACCCACTCAACGCCGGAACCGCACCATCCCGGAAGGGACAGGACTCACGCAAAAGGGCAAAAATATTTAATTTAAAGCAGCATAAAAACAAAGACGGCGAAAAGGTGGAATGGGTTTTGCCAGCAAATGGTTAATTTAATTACAAATTCTTTGCTTTCTTTTGCATTCGTATTAAATTTTCATGCGGTCCTGACATCAGCTTCCTGTCGTTCTGTGTGCGCGCTTGAGTGTGTATGTGCGTGTGTGTGTGTGGCTACACATGTGGTGGTGGTAGTGGTGGGTGGGTGTGTGTATGTAAGGCACCTGCTGTCATTGCCGTCTTTGTAACATTTTGGCCGCTTAAATACTCAAGGGACTTGAGAAAAAGCATCCTTACACACACACATACACTCGGTCGAATCACCCACACACCCTTGCACGTATACACACGCACACATGGACACGCTGATTGTCCCTTCAATGAAAAATAGCGCTCATTAATGTTGCTCATTAGCAGGACCACGGATCCTGCTCCTTGACTTTTCCCTGCTAGTGACATTCCCTTGCGTTGGTCCTTGGTCCTTGCCAACCCCACTTTCCCCCCTCCATTTCCATTCAGCAAGTGTCAACTGGCAAATGATTTGCCATTATTTACTAATAAAACTCATCGAGTTTTGGGCTTTCTGCTAATCGAATGTGTGTGTGTGTGTGTGCTTAGCACCACCCAACCACTTTGGCAATTCCCCAGCCTGAGCCATCCACTTTCGATAGGAAAGCTGCAAAAGAGGAAGGAGATGTCCTGGCTAACCAAAGGACTCTTAATTCGAAGCGACTCACACGTTTACGCTGGCAAATGACCTCAATCAACGCGGCCAAAAGTTCGCTTCGAGGAGAATGGGGATAGTTGAGTTAGATAAGACCGAATCCCTTGCTCTTAAGATAAATAATAATAGCGTCATCAGGTTCATCAGTATTTAGCTGTCTTTTTTGAGTTTTAAAATGGTTTGTACGTGGTCTGTTAATTATTTATATCGACCACCTTTGATGCTTAAAAGGGGGATTGATTTCAACTGTATCAAAAATTGTAATAATAAGCGTGGGAAACCCTTTTTAAATGCAGTAAACAATTGGCTTAGTCTTGGTTTATTGCTGACCAATGAGCCATTGCTCATCTGGTATACAAATTGATTTTATCTCAACCGCAGTTGGAATTCCAATGGGCATATATAAACAAAAGCATTATCCCCTTTTTAGGCAGACAGCAGTGTGGGTGTCATATTCATACAAATAACACATATTCCCGGTTCCATTTGTTTGATTATTTTCTTGTCCAAATAATGACAATGGGTTGACCAGACGAAAGTGTGCGGTAATCTTGCATAGCGAGCGGCTCAATA